ATTCCTGCACTAGACTCTCTGCACTAGAATTTTCTTTCTTGTTTTCGCTTAATATCAAAAAACTATTTCACTTTTTTAAGTTCCAAAAATGTACAACTAATTCAATTATAGAAAACAGATTTATTTTCAGTAATATGTATATGCTGTATAAATAAATCATTAAATTAATTAGCTGTATTCAGCATTACTTAAAAATATTAAATATGTTTTGACGAATCAATTTCATAATTTCAAACATAACTTTACATATGTTAATTTGATCTTGCAGAAAGATTCAAACATTAACAACGCACTTATCATATTTATTTTTATTTAAAACTTTGTAGGAACGTCAAAGAGAACGAAAGCTCATGAAAGATCGAGATGAAGCATGGATGCGCGTTGAAGCGCTCGCGATGAGGCATCCAAACTACAATGTGGCAAATAAAGGCACAACGAATAACACCTCCTATACATCACCTCAACATATAGATAATTCACCGCCTGACGAAGACGGTGACACGGATCAAACTCCGCTTACCTTGGAGAAAATTGAAGCTAAAGCTAATGAGGTATGAATTGATATCCGTTGTTATTTTTTATTTGAATGCTCTGTTATATAAAGCATTATCAGCATTGATATTCTTAGATATATCTTAAATAAGCGTTTTGTTATACAGGCGAAAAAAATGACAAACGTGAACAAAGTGAAACCGCTTTTACGAAGAAAGAGCGATTTACCACAGGATTCATACACAATGCGGGCATTATCCGACCACAAACGCGCCGATGAATACCTTGTTACACCGCCAGATCCTAATAATTGCTAGTCTCTACCACAACCACTTCCCATGTATCCTCTGTTTTGCTGTAGCAACATCGGAAGTTAGTTTTCTTTCTAGAAGGAAAACGGCGATAAGAACGCAAATGATTTTGGCTGAGAGTCTCACTATGCGAAATCAATTATGTATTGTCATTTCAATATATATCACATCATATTTGCTTTTTTAAATAGAAAAGAAAAGAATCCTATTATCCCGCCGTGCATATATGCGATTCAAAGACACAGTGTATAGGTACTCATAGAAGCTTACAGAAAAAATTTGTTCTTTATAGAAATGCGTTGTATTTATTTCTTCATTATGGGAAAAAAAACATTGCGATTAAGAGGATGTGTAATAGTATCATTATAAAAGACGCGCATGTAGTAAACAAAACAGGCTCTAAATACATTAGAATCGCCATCATCGGAAGCATTCTGAGGTGCTACCCTCTGCTATGTCTCAACAATAAGATAATATACGAATAATGTACGTAAATGAGATTTAATTGTGGATACTACGGTTGTAATGGATTTGGTTCTATTCTATTCTACAAGAGATTTTATACACAGATGAGAGATATGTATGCGGAAATGTGATCGAAGATATACACGTATGTGCTCTCGATGTTGTAACCTATATTACTGCGCTATGCGAGCTTGTTGTGTTAACATTCTTGCGAATGAGGCGTTTCCATTTATGTGCAAATGATATATACATATATAAATATACGTACTTGCTTTAACACTACAGGCTCGTTGTAGTAAGAGAATAAACATAAATAAATGAAGACGAAGAAGAAAAATACACGCGGGCGCGCGTTATCTTAGGATGTATATGATAGTGCTATTTTAAAAATAATAGATTGCTACGAGAAAATCTGGATACTTCTGAGTGTACTACTTTTATATCTGTTGTGCCTAGATGCCTGTGGAAAAAAAAGAATGCCTCCATGTGGGGCCTATACATATATTATGAACAGCAAGATTAAGCAGCGAGTTTACATGTCGCTTTGCCAAATATAATCGATATTACAGAATTTCAGTAACGCTTGCATAACATGTTGTGTTGTTAACTCATTGATCTTGAGATTAATTGAAAGATTATACTGTTGCGGCCCAGAGATAGAAGAGAGAAGAATAAAAGAAGAGAAGGAGAAGGAAGGATACAATACAATTTAGTCCTTGCGCTGCTGGCAGGTTGTTACGTTAATAATCGAGGATACCTTGTTGAACATAGATAAGATAAGCACTTATATTAAATATTAGAAATTAAAACTACGAAGATAGATTTCTAAAATTATTTACTTATTAATTATTCCTATTCAAAAGAGAGGAATGGCCATTTCAGCTAATTGAGCATTAATTAGTGATATAAATATCATTATAATTATTATATATAGTTATTGTATTATTTTTATATAGTAATGAATAATGACGAAAATAGGGTAATAGTAATAATGTAGTAGCTGGTACATGTGGCAAAATGCCTTGAATTCGTTTAGTCTATCCGAAAATCTACGTTTTTCCCAAATTAGATCGATAATAAATAAAAAAAAATATATCGTCACGTGTCAGAGAGAAAGAAAGGGAGAAGGGGAGAGATAGAGAGAGAGAGAGAGAGAATTCTTATATGCCGCATGCAGTAATTCGAAAAGACATCGAATCAGATAGTCTTCGCGGATGTGAATGTGTACGCCTGCAAAAGCTTAAATCGAATTATAGAGGATCGGAAAAGGAAAAAATAATCGTAATAATAATATTACTATTAATAACAATAACGCTGTTATTAAGAGAATATAGAATTGCCGGATCGTTAAAAAAAAAATGTAATAAAGACGTTAAATCTTGCATGGTACCGTGAGAGTTTTTTCATACGTATTATGCGTAAGGCATTATAGAAACATTCATAATTAAACACTAAATTATACCAATCTCGATCTGATAGAGATTTTTAAACAAGATACGCGGATCTTTTTTTTTCTTGCGCGTCTGCAGTGGATATTATTATGTGATATTATATGTTACGTCGAAATTACACAGATTTTAATCTTTACATTCGAGTCAGGAGTAATTGGAGGAAATCGGAGTCAGGAGGTATCTCGACTGAACATTAATATAGGATTAAAAAAAGTTTTTCTGTTCGTGGTTTTCGAGATTGAGCGCATTCAAGAGTCCTCGATTGAAATCCACTTATGTGAGACCTCGTGCGCAGTTTGCATTTCATGTACCTGCATATATCGTGTAAATAATACAATTATTTTTAAACGCGCATTTTTCATTTTCAGTTCCAAAGACACGCTCGTCTCGATGAGCGTCGTGTTAGAAAGATTTAACGCACTCTTTTTCATTATTTTATTTCTCTTTTATTTTCTTTCTAGATATACGGAATTTCTGTAACGTTTACGAATTTATCAACAAAAATTTAGAGGAAAAATTTATCATTTTATTTTTTAATTATACGTAGATTTTATTTAATTTTTTCGAGCGAATTTATAATTGTACGTATATGTAATCACTTTTGACAGATGCGCGCAATACGTATATACAACTCTAAAAGAGAACCCAGATAATACAAAGTTCAAAATCAAAGAAAAACTTAAGTCTTAAAGACATCTTTATAAGAACCGTCTTAAACGACCCTTAGCCGTTCAATATTAATATATAATTATTTTGATACCTCTCTTAAATAATTCAAAACAATCTGATAGCCGAATCTTTATCTGATAGATAATCTCCAAATAATCAAGTAAAAGAATAAAAGTCTCAAAGACTTCTTTGTGAAAACCGTCTTAAGTGGCCTCTAGATATAACATATACAATATCAAATATTGTGCAATAATATATTGATCGTCTAAAAGCCACTTTAAAGACGTCTTATGATTTTAAACATTGTTATCTGGGAAAGATCTCTATGTAAATGCATACACAGTGGCAATATTGTAAATGTCGCAATTTGAATTGAGAGGGAATGGAGTAAAGAGAAATCAGTATCACATAGAGAAAAAAATATCAGTAACAGATAAATTTTTACAGACATAATTTCACTGAAGACATTATGAGTTCTCGGTTGTAACGGAGATAACACATTTAAATTAATTTATATTAATTTTAACTATCCTTATGCCGAACATTATATGGAGCGCATCATTTCACAAGAAGGAAAATTCATTGCTCTCTGTGGATATGAGCAACGTCCGTTCTATTTGGATGTCGTTCGAGCGATCGAATTGAATTCGAGCGATAATATTTCGTACACGTATCTGCAATTTGTTAAAAACATAGTTTTATAGTAAATAAAGAGGATTAAGAGAAAAGAGCAGAAGCATTCTTACGAGAAACGTTCTTTGTATGAATTTATGAAACATTCGATATCGAATAGCTACAAGAAACTATTAAATAACAAAATTTTTATTCTTAAACGTATTACAATATTTCCTACGACGCAATATGTAAATGGCTGACAATTTTTATAACATTTATAGAAAACAAAAAGGAAATTAGAAGAAAATTCTAATATTCTTTATCGCTTTAGCAATAAGTTTGTTCTTTGCAACTGTATTTCTTGCACAGTTTAAAAACTTTCCTCTTTTTTCCTCCATGTTGAAGAAAAAAAACCAAGAAAAGATGAACAATGCAAGAAGTTTCGCTAAAAAGAACAAGCCTGATACCATCATCTCAGATACTCAGATCTGATTCCATTTCATCATGTAAGATTAACTTCAGTCTCGGTTCAATTTACTGTTTTATGTTTTCCTAATTCTAAAAATTAAAAAGATAAATCGAGATTCAAGCTAATTTTACATTAGTGGAGCTGGGCCTTAATTGATTAAAAAGATGTTTCGAAGTTAACGTAGGAGCGGAGCACAAAGATACAATTGAAATATTTCTATATTTCGAAGAGACAAATAATGTGTCTTCATATGCTTAATATAAAGTTGTTAAAGCAAATGTTTGTGGACAAACTACTATTTTTATGATAATCTCTCTATATTTATTTTTATTGTGTTTACGAAATGTGAAAAATTAAAACATTAAAAAAGATTGAGGAGATATTGCAGAAGAAGAAAGCTCGATCTCGCTGAGAGTCTCGAGGCAAATCCTAGATTTATTATTCTGAAGACAGAGAGAGAGAGAGAGAGAGAGAGAGAGAGAGAGAGAGAACGGAATTTATTGGCAATGTCAACATTGCATCACGTATTGATATGAGCTATCAACGAGGATATGCCACGTCATATTATTACTTATTGTCGTGATGTTTATCTCTGCCGCTTTCTTTCGCGAATTAAGCGTAGAACAGTGTAGATCGAAAATAAACATCTGAAATAAACAACTGTTATGGGCAGCAAGATCTTGCCATGCTTCGTGTGCGGAACCATCATCAAGGGTTTCGGCAGAGGTTCGAAGGAGCTCGGCATTCCGACAGGTATCATTTCATCCTTCGAATGCCTGTTTAACATGTCATTCGATCAACGATCTGATTCACGCAACAGCAAAACGCCGAGTATCGGTTGTCACATATCAATATTGACAGTAACGTTCCGAGTTTTCCTGTCATTTAAAAATAACAGAAATCTGCCCTCACAAGCACGTTTTATTTATCCCTCTTTCTCCGTTTAGATTAAAATTAAAACTGCTCGTTTCCAAACATATGCTTTTGCTTTAGGTTAGGATTCTTTTTTTCATTTCGAATCGATAGATATTTGTTTTAAATGTGCGCCTCTCTCATTTTATGTTCTCCGCTTTCTCACCTCGAGACCCAAGTTGTAGCTACGTGATATATATATTTTTTAAGAAATAAAATAAGTAGAGAAATTATCCTGATTTGCTAAAACGATTGATACACTTGACGAGTAATTGTTTCAATATTATTTAACTGTTTCTGTTTCTACCACACAGTGTGGTTTAATTTTAATCTCGATTCACAACTAACTCTATATCTTTTGTAGTTTTAAAAATTTGTAAAAGATAAAGGTAAGTTGAACCGGAAATTGAAATTAATCTACATTAGGCAACAGACCCATTTATCCCAAGCGACAAACGAGAACTGAAAATTTACGTTACGCTCGATATGTATTGTTGATTTTGGAGGCAGATAATTTAATCGATTAACAGATAAACTTTCAATAAATAGATATAATAATTTCGACGCATGATATATTTAAGACACACATCATTTTATTCACAATATATATATATATATATATACACACACACACAGTGCGACAAATATGTTCCCGGACACGAACCACATCTCAGCAACCAGTGGCAACATCTGTGCGTTCAAACATACATTTGAAAGGTTTAACATTTCCCTATCATCTATCAAAGTTTCATTCATTTTGGTTGACATATAACGAAGACATCACAGTTCATGTTAAATAAGATTTTGGTCGAGGTAGAAATTTTAATATGGAACAAAGAGCAGTGATTAAATTTAACGCAAAACTGATCGCTTCTTAATGTGTGTGGAACAAACTTCGCACAAACCTTTGTTTTACCCAAATCTTCATGTAATATGGTTCGAATCGTTTCTCTATTGATATTTAAAGCCTCCTCCATCATTTTTAGTGACGCATTGCGATCGTTTGCAACAAAATTACATACTTTTTCGATCATTTCGGGTGTTCGAA